GTGGTAGAAGAGAAGTAGCAGTATTGGTAGTAGATGTAGCAGTAGTAGTAATGGTAGTAGTAGTAGTAACAGAAGTAGTAGAAATAGAGAAGTAATGGTAGTAGTAGTAGTAATAGTAGTAGTTGTGGTGGTAGTAGAAGTAGTAGTAGTTGTTGTGGTTGTGGTAGTCATAGTAGTAGCTGCAGTAGTAGAAGATAAGTAGCAGTATTGGTAATAGATGTAGCAGTAATAGTAGCAGCAGTAGTAGTAACAGTAGTAGTAGGAGGAGGAGTGAAGTAGCAGTAGTAGTAGTAATAGCAGTAGTAGTTGTTGTAGCATTAGTAGTAGAAGCAGCAGCAGCAGCAACAGCATTAGCAGCAGCAGCAGCAGTAGTAGTAGTAGTAGTATTGGTAGTAGTGTGATTATTGACATTTTGTAGATGTAAAGTATCGATGTGTTTAAATACGACTGACAGGTGCGTGATACCTCGTGTCAACACGAACACTCACACATGGAGTCTGCCCACATCCCAGAACATCACCACACCAGATCGCGGGAACATCCACCGCCAGGGTTAATCGAATCTTTCTTAACAATTCTAATGACATTACACACGGTCATTCCAGCCATGCCTACAAAGGCTTGTCATAATAGGCTTTCACAGGCTGAGCCCTCTGAAGGGTTCATTTTGTCATCATCCATCAGAAGCCCACTTACTCTTTATCGATAGCTGTGATCACTCTACAGTAGCTATGGAATACTGTACATGACATGTTTCTGTGTTTGCGATCTCGAATTTTCCAGCATCGTCAAATAGGTAAAGATGAAGTGAACGAGATCGGTGTAAATGTTTCTTCCACCCTAGCTTGCCCTTTTCTGATAATTATAATTTCAAAATATTTCATGTACATTCGTACAACAGTGTAGAAGAAACATGAATTGTTGAAAGAGAGTGAGTTTAGTTTTACGCCGCTCATAGCAATATTTATTCCAGCAATATCACGGCATTGGACAACAGAAATGGGCTTCACACATTGTACTCATGGAAATCGAACCCGGGTCTTCTTCGTGACGAGAGAGGGGGAGAGAGAGTGAGAGAGAGAGACTGAGCGAGAGAGGGAAGGGGGAGAGAAAGAGAGAGGAGGAACGCCCAACATCCTGTAATGAATGACCTGTTCCCGAATGTCCGTGTCACATATCAAATTCGCTTTCTCTAAATTGTAGATAGATAATATTGTGATTTTGAAATGTGTACATGGAAACTTGTTTTTGAATATAGCTATGTGCAATTATAGATATGTGCATATATGTAAACTTGGTCTCGTCGTTATATGGCTGAAACCATTAAATTGTAACTCACTCACTCACCCAAATTCGCTTTCCGTGTCAATGCAGGTCTCTCAACGTACATTACATCCATAAAAATAAATGGGTAAATGAAAACATTTAAAAAGCCGTGGAAAATATAGGATAGACCCTTATTTGATTGTGATACCACGTGCTTCATGCCCATGAATGTACGTCAAAAAACGACCGTTTCCAATTTTCAAGTGTATAGTTTTTTGCTTGGTAGTCTCCAAGATGAACTGCCGTTGTGTGCGCAAACCTATTAAACTTTGTATATTTTCAGCGACTCAAATCGATTTTACGGATACGCGAGACAGCGAATATGTCCCTTACAGTGTTTCATAGCTAACCATTAACTACATATAGCTTGATAGCTTCATCAGAATTCCTTTTGGTGTGACAGGCTGTTATTGTCTCAAGTTACGAAAAACAACATGTATTACAGCAGTTCCATTATTCCAATGCACGGGATCCATCCAGTGATGTGAATATTGTAAATAATTACTGATGGTGCCAGTATTCTGAGTAATTGCTTATGGGTTAGGCGAAACATTGCTTTGTACAGAGCATGGTAGAAAATGGTATAAAATATATGATCTGTGGTCCGTAAGGTGTGTTTGATGTGCTCGCATGTTGACCTGCCTTTGCGTGTGTTTGTGACAGATATCATAGACGAGACAGGATATACTGCCACTTTCTCGAACATTCAAACAACTTTGTGTCGAACGTATGGTTGTCTCGAAGTAAAATATTAGTACTTCCGTATTCTTTCTTTATTCATCGTTTTCGGTTGTTACGAGCCTCGGATAGCTCGACGTATTACGCGGGTCCCTTTAACTTCGACACAACGGCGTTTGAATGTATTTGAAAAAGATTCATAAACACCTGCGTATGACATAGTCAGAATCTTACAATGGATTCGGATATTCTTCATGACTATAGAAGGGTGGTGGGGTAGCCTAGTGGTTAAAGCGTTGGCTCGTCACGCCGAAGACCCGGGTTCGAATCCCTACATGGGCACAATGTGTGAAGCCCATTTCTGGTGTGCCCCGCCGTGATGTTGCTGGACTATTGCTAAAAGCGGCGAAAACCAAACTCAGTCAGTCAGTCAGTCATGACTATAGACAGAGCTGTGTTGCCTTTTGTTGTCTGATGATCCTCTTTAGGTTCCGAAAAGTAAATTGAGTAAGTGATTGACAGATCATCTGTCCTTTCTGGAAGTACTTTGATCAATTCATTCCCTTACCCGTTCACAGCTTTGAACATGAAAGAAATCACGTAGGTAATATGTTGGTTTATTCATTGGAACAAACTTGTACACATGATGCAGTTGCATTGTCTCGTGAAGACCCGGGCGAGAATTGTCTTCAGTAACCCATACTTTTCGTGTGAGGCGACTAACGGGATCGGGTGGTCAGGTTGTCTTGGTTGACACATGTCATCGGTTCCCAATTGCGCAGATCGATGCTCATGATATCAATCACTTGACTGTGTGGTCCAGAGCTGAATATTTACAGACCGCCGTGATGTAGCTGGAATATTGCGTAGTGCGGCATTAAAGGAAAAAACAAACATGCACCTTTCATACAAAGTGTAATGTTTTAGGTCCAGATCATCTTCCAGAGGCAACAACGTCCACCACCCAATATGAAAGTCATGTTCTCACCTTTACCCTTTCACGCCAACGTATCTGTACTTAAATGACACCCTCGGGATTTGACTATCGCACACATCACAGTCCAACCATGGTCCAATCAGAGGATACTTAACAAAATCGACAACCGGGTTCCATTTTCCACGTGACAATTGTTTTCAAAGTCTTTTCACGTTTTCTGCCAACTCTCCCAAGTATTTAGTTCATTTTGTATACATTCGAATGAAAATGGCCTTGTATTTAACCTCCTATGGCTGAACGCTCACAAGGCTATATATGACACTCGTGCCTCTTGAAGATCGTGATAGATCGTGATAGATCGCCTGTCAGATCTACTCAACACAACATGGCCGAACAATGAATCAGTCCTTTGAACATTCACTGATTCAAAATCAATATCGACGAATACTGACCTCCAGTACTGTGGATTGAGGTGGCAGAAAGGAGCTTATGAGAATATCGAATCCTGGGTCCCGATCCACAAAACGTTCGTAGCGCTACGACATTCGTAAGCCTATGATAAACTATAGAGTTACGACAGGTCGTAACCTTACGAACGCTTTGTGGATCGGGACCCTGGCTAGCTATTCTCGAAACGTTCGTATCCCTACGAATTTCTTAAGCCCATTCTTAACACATTGGCTACGATCAAAGTTAAGAATTCTTAGGGCTACGAACGTTTCGAGAATAAGGACCCTGGAGGATCAGGTATGGTACAATGTATTGACTCTACCTCATTGTTTCCCTTGGAAATCCTACATTGTAAACCTAAGCAAAGCCTAACGTAACTTGATGAGGATGAAATAAACTGAATTATGTAAGGCCCATCACATATAAAATCCAGTTAGAGTGGCGGCTGACCTCCCCAAGAGATTTGTTTTGTTTGTTGCTTAACACCGCACTCAGCAATATTCAAGATATATGACAACGGTCTGAAAATAATCGAGTCTAACAATCCGGTGATCAACATCATGAGCATCGATCTCCGCAATTGGGATACGACGACATGTGTCAACCAAGTCAGCGAGTCTTGACCACCAGATCCCGTTAGTTGCCTCTTAGGAAAAGTATGAGTTATTGAAGACAAAGTCCCCCTCCCAACAGAGCATTTGAATCTCACACGTTATACACTCTAGATTCCATTTGTGCTTGTCCACCGCTGCCGCTGGCTGAACGACAACGATGCAGTTCATCATGTGATAAACTGTTGAACGGTAGACATTCATCCACGGTCATGACATTTTCTTAAATCAACCACAATTCTATCATAAGCCAGAACCACTAAATTGGCACTTTCAGCCATATTGGGTCTAGTCACGGCCAATTACATACCGTTTAACATGAAACAGGTTGTGCCATCGATGTAAGATAAATAACGATAATTACGTAGAGACAAACAAATCATTTTCTTTTCACATACACTCAGCAGGGATGTTCTGGTGGACATGCTGAAAGTGATGCGGCTCTTTGTTCTCATGTTACGGACACATAGATTACTGTTGATAGTTTAACAAAAAATATCTTTGGTAACAGAAACAGATAACTCCAGTAGGATTAGTCAATATTTTTACAAACTTTACCGAACCGGAATTTCGTTTTGCATCCAGTGTGCGAAATAGTTTCCAAATTTTACTAGCCAGTCGGGGTAGCTATGCCTGAAAGTTACTAGCCCACAAAATAATTCACTAGTCCGAAATTTGAATGTAGAAACTAAGCAAAGATTACAAAAATAATAGATGAGTATAAGTTATTGTCGGCATGACACGGGTTTCATCATTAAGCTGCTAATATGATGGACATTTTTATCAGGCCATGATCTTGCATGCTTTAAAAGCGCATTATAACTTAACAAGTCGGAGAGAGTGATATATTTACAAAATGATCCCATGAAAATTCACTAGCCAGTCGGGCCAGTGACTATGGAGATTTACTGGCCCGACTGGATTTTTACTAGCCACGAGCTAGCGGGCTGCGAACCAGTGGCTATTTCGCACACTTTACTTCTAATAAGTATGACACGAGTACCTGGATTGCGAACAAAAACGATACATAAGAGCTTCCGTTGCGATTATCGAAGGATCCTTGTTTTGAATAGTAGTCGACTATTAGAAGATGCAAAGCCACCACTGCGTTGCGCCCCTTTAGGGAACTTTGATTTGAAGAGTACTGTAAAATCAGATGTTCAGAACATGACGGATTCACATCTTCTGGTCAGTATCCCTTGGCCGATGTAGACGCCATCCTTTGTTTTGTCCACTCGATACATGTACAGAGGTCTGGAAAAATCAAAATAGTCTGTTTCAGGGAAAAACGTGTTGAATACATTTCTGGTTGTGTCCATCCAGTACACGCACGCACGCACGCACGCACGCACGCACACAACTCTCTGGAATAGTAAACATTATCTGAATAAGAGATGCTGAACACTCCCTTGGTTGTGTCTATCCAATGCACATACTGACTGACTGAGTTTGGTTTTACGCCGCTTTTAGCAATATTCCAGCAATATCACGGCGGGGGACACCAGAAATGGGCTTCACTCATTGCACCCATGTGGGGATTCGAACCCGGGTCTTTGGCGTGACGAGCCAACGCTTTAACCACTAGACTACCCAACCGCCCCCCAATGCACATACAGATGTTTTAATAGTGTGACCCATAGAAGATGAAGGTGACATCCTTGAGTATTTTTATCCATCCAATAAACATACATACAACTAGACGACTCCAAAGCCTTCCCTTAGTTTAAAAGCAGGTTAGTGTTAAACTTGTGACTCATAATACAGAACCAAAAACGAAATCCGGTGAAAGTTTAAAAAAACGGTTTTCGTTTACATATAATGCGTCTTTAAACTGAGTGTGTGACTCCAACCTGAACCTTAAGAATAACAAGAATAAACTGATTTCGAAAATAGTATCTATTTGTGTTTCATCCCTATTCAGAAAGGAATATCAAAACAAACCTTGTAGGTACTTATTCGGTGAAGTGGTTGAAATAAACTGACAAATACCAGCGTGAATTACGCATCATAAAGAAAAAATGTTCATTCGTGCGTAAGTTATATAGTTCTTTATATTGGTTGACATCTCGTTTGAGTCTGAGATACTGTTGACGGAAATGTCCCATGGAAAGGCCATCTTTTATATCCCTCGTCTCATAACTACTCTCCACCATACCAGCTCATTCCACCCATCCCCCGCAACTGATTCCCTCCCCAATCTGTGATTGAAGATATTAATCAGATTCCTTTATGTCCTGCTGTTACATTTTCCATCAGAGACAAGGACAGTGGTCATCTGACCTGGCACGGACAAGTCTACAGACGAGTCCTCCAGATGGACTACGACATCATTACCGTGACACTAATTACACCTTCTCCCCTACACTGACAGTCCCTACAGCGACAGATATACTGTTATATATCAGCACTGTCGAATCGGGGAACTGAACGAGTCCCTAAGTAATCAATTTCCGATCGCTGTCTGATTGTCTGATTGGTTCTTAAAACCTCACTAATACCTAACGTTCACACAATTTATCTTTAATTGAAATGAAAAATGTATATAATTTCAAAACACTTTTTATAAGCTTACTTACTGAACAGAACTTAAAGATCATGAAACATTTTATAATATGCACATATTGAAACGAGTCTTGCGTACAACAAATATCAGCCCAAATAAACATGATTCCTATTTTTGTGTGGTACGTATTACTAATCATTCAGGAGTTACCTTTTCCTGATGTGTGATCCAAGATGGTCCTTCGTGAAGAGGATGGTAATGTTGCGTCTGAAGCTGGGATTGGTGAAATAGTACAGGACTGGGTTGATCATGCAGGAGGCCTTGGCGAACATGGTGGGCAGCGTCGTGACCCAGATGGGCAGATTCCTACAGTACACTGTCCACAAGGACACGAAGGTGTATGGTGACCACAGCAAGATGAATGATATGGTTATCGCCAAAGCAATCTAAAATGCAAAGAATACAAATTTTGGTTTGGTATGTATATTGCAAACATTTGTTAGATGGAAATAATATAAGGTGAAACAACGCATACACAATGCCATTTAGAAAGTTGTCAAATGTAACATTGGTGTTGTATTTGGAATTACATGTTCTCTGTAAAGTACAGATTCTAGTAGTTTTGTTAGGTTGAGTCCAATCCGGGATTAGATCGCTCACTTTGTGTGCTGGCGAATAAGTGCCTGACTCTGAGGGTGTGGGTTCTAATCCCCGATGGGACTCAACTTCAATCTGTACTTTAGTGGGAAAGTGTAATCCAAAATATAACACACGTAAATGAAGTGAGTGAGTGAGTCGAGTTTAACACAGCTTTGAACAGTACTCCAGTTATAAACTGAGAGAAACAAATACAGGATCACAGGAAAATTCAAGCGTTTCTTTATTATTTTCCAGTTTTCATCACCACAGCGCTATTTAAAGCTGGTGATGAAAACTGGAAAATATTAAAGGAGCGCTTGAATTTTCCTATGATCCTTTATTTGTTTCTCTCAGTATATTACAGCAAGTCAGACAAATATGGGAGGAAAACCCAATGTGTTACAGGCTACCGTTTTGGTGAAATATTTGATACTGACAATCCTGGAGAGATTCACGGAGAACCAGGATTCGAACTCACAGTCACATGTTCCATCCGTGACCCAGGTACAGTATGGGGCATTTAATGTCATCGAAAGAAACCGAAACGTCAGATCGTACTGTAATAAATCATAAATATAAACTGCAAATCAAAATAAACACTTGAAAAATTAATTTTACCAACTCATTACAAACATCATCAAAATTTTCTTTGGCTGAAAGATTGTAAACTAAGGTCCAAAATAAAACTGTGACTCTGGTTTAAACATATTCCCATGGAATAACAATTTTTTTGTTCATTATCACCTAGCATAGTGATTAAAGCGTTGGCTTGTCACGCCAAAGACCCGGGTTCGAATCCCCACATGAGTACAATGTGTGAAGCCCATTTCTGGTGTCCCCCGTCGTTATGTTGCTGGAATATTGCTAAAAGCGGCGTAAAAACATACTCAGTCAGTCAGTCTTAGGTGTATATCCTCTTTTGACCGGCAGTTTTATTATTATTCGTTATCTTCAAGCTGATAAGTAAATATACTGAACAACAACTGTTATTGTGTCGTACGTAAATCATACCAGACAATGCCTAAACTAAAACAAGAAAACCGTGTTCGTGATTATAAGGAGAAATATAAAAAAATCAATGTCGACACATTAACTACGGATATAACGAAATCAAAGGGAACGTTAAGTTTACTTGTTATAACCGTAGTTGATTTACGCAGTTTGACGAAAATACACAGCACGTGGTAAGTACAAAAACCCAATTCGTTATATCCGTCAGTGTGTATTTGTGTGGACATTGTGACAGATGAAAGAGAAGGTTTTAGGGGTTTTAAAAAAATATGTTTTATATATATATTTTTTTTATCTAAATATCTTTTTCTAACGGAACGGCAAGTGGTCAGAGTGTATTTGTGTGGACATTGTGACAGCTGAAAAACAAGTTTTTTTGGTTTATTGGGTTTTTAAAAAAAACCAACCAGTTTGGAAAACTAATCTTTGTAGAGTCCCCCGTCAGTCTGAATGCTATCTAAACATCTTTGTCTCACGGAACCAACCCCACGCTGAACCCTCATGGAATGGCATTCCATATCCGATCTTACAGGGAGCAATTTACAAACGCGTTCGTTGTAGACGTGGAAGACATCGATCTACTTCATCTCAAACCTGCTCCACTGGGATCTGGAGATCGGGCCGACCACGACAACACTTTCTGATTGTTCTTCACACATTATTTGCTGGACAATGCATGTCGCAGGTGATCTGGCGTTGACGTGTTCACACGTCCACGGGAACGTTAATGTAGTTACGGGATACGGGCTAAATAACGTCATCACGATCACGATGAGCGTTTGGCTTTCTTCTCAACGTCCGTTGGGAGCGTTATCCCATACTACACCTCAACCAAAGGTATTGTCTTCCAGGAAATGTTTATCGACCTAACGCTTATTCGACGTCAATTAACGTCCGTCACAAAGGGAAAAGCCAACGTATGTTGTCAATACGTGTCTTATTTGCACTAAACTCAGCAAAGAAAGGTTTTGTTTCGTGCTTTCTGGCTCATTTCAGCCTGGCGCAGTCTTTGTCTGCAGCGCTGAAGCCGACTGTAATTGTTTTGGTCACTGTCAACGTCCTCAACGTCGCCGGTATTCCTTGTCATAATTCGACGATGACGTATAAGATTACACACTTGCTGGTTGTTAGTTCTCAAACGGGTGGTCAGATCAAGTTGTCTTGTCCGATGGTGGTATCCAAGGCCAAACAATTTTAGGTCGTTTGTTTAAGTTTCTTGAAAATGTTCTGGTCAATAACTGGCAAACGAAGTCCAGAAGTCTTACAAAACAATCATGGCTCCCGGTGGATCTACTACTACTACTACTACTACTACTACTACTACTACTACTACTACTACTACTACTACTACTACTACTAGAACTACTACTACTACTACTACTACTACTACTACCCGGTGGATCTACTACTACTACTACTACTACTACTACTACTACGACAGCTATTGCTACTACTACTACTGCTGCAGCTATTGCTACTACTACGACTACTGATACTACTATTATTACTACTACTGCTGCCAATACAGCTATTGCTACTACTACTACTACTACTACTACTACTAATACTACTACTGCCACTACAGCTATTGCTACTACTACTACTACTACTACTACTACTACTACTACTACTACTACTACTACTACTACTACTACTACTACTTTATCTACAACTTCTACTGCTACTTACTTACCACTTGTACACTTCTACTACTACTTCTACTGGTATGGTTAATACTTCGATGACCACTACACCCAGCTATTGCTGCTGTTACTACTGCTACTACGTCTACTGCTACAACATAACTACTGCTACTACAACAAGTATAAATATGACTACTTAAACTACAACAACTACTATAACAGCTACACCTGCTACAACAACAACCACTACTACCACTATTACTACAACTACATCAACAACAACGTTTACTTTGATTAATTCAACTACTACTACTCTTACTACTACTACTACTACTACTACTGCTACTGCTGCTGCTACTGCTACTACTACTACGAGTACTACTACTGTTACTACTACCACAACAACAACGACGACAACTACTACAATTCGTCAACGCACTCACCAAGGTCACTCTCCTCTCCCTCCTCATCTTATGAAGAAAGGCACCTTCACTCAGCCTCAGCCCAACAACCACAGTGGTGTTCAAGTTGTCGCGCACCGACCACGCCTTCTTCACAATCTTGTAGTAACAGAACGCCATCAACACAATGTGTACGCTGTAGCAGTACACTATAAGGCACCAGGTGTACGCTACAGATCCCTTGTCGGTGCTGGACCAGTCTACACTGCAGGAGGTACCGAAAGGCTCAAAGGTGTACGCACTCCACCCCATCAGCGGCGGTAACGTCCACATGAGTGCGTACACCCATAAACACACGATCACCTTCCTGGTGGCAAAGTTTAAATAGTAACCTGCAACAGACAACATGTGCATTTTGTCACAATTGCATTTTTTAATAGTGTTAAAAAATGTGTCGAACTCCGATACAACCTCTTTGAGACTGTGAGGCATTTTGGTTTTATAGACTAGTGGCTCGACTACAGCAAGTGAGTCAATGTGATGACACTGAAGTTTGGGCTTTTAGCAATATTCCAGCAATATGTGGGGACACCAGAAATGGGCTTAATGTGTACCCATGTGATTACCCGGGTCTTCGGCGTGACGAGCCAACGCTTTAACCACTAGGCTATCCCACTGTCCCAACCTCTTTGAGAGGCATTTAGAAGTTTTATAGACTACTAGACTACTGACTTAATGTGATGTGACTATTATTGACTACTGACTTAATTGACTACTGACTTATGTGTGATGTGACTATTATTGACTACTGACTTAATGTGATGTGACTATTATTGACTACTGACTTAATGTGATGTGACTATTATTGACTACTGACTTAATGTGATGTGACTATTATTGACTACTGACTTAATGTGATGTGACTATTATTGACTACTGACTTAATGTGATGTGACTATTATTGACTACTGACTTAATGTGATGTGACTATTATTGACTACTGACTTAATGTGATGTGACTATTATTGACTACTGACTTAATGTGATGTGACTATTATTGACTACTGACTTAATGTGATTGACTTAATGTGATGTGACTATTATTGACTACTGACTTAATGTGATGTGACTATTATTGACTACTGACTTAATGTGATGTGACTATTATTGACTACTGACTTAATGTGATGTGACTATTATTGACTACTGGCTTAATGTAAAGCGTTTTCTGTTTGAAAGACATTGCTATCATTCAATCACTTAACTGATTTGCCCAAAATATGGACGTAGGTTCAGTCTCCTTAAGAACTTGCATAATGAGGAATTTCCTTTAACACGAAGCTATCCACAGTACCGAAATACAGTTTACACAGTGACCTCACTCACTCACTCACACCTCACTCACTCACTGAAAAGATCGCGTCTTCGTGACTAGGGAGATTTGTTGACACCAACCATCATCTATTAACATCACAACATGACGTCCATTTGAGTCATATAATTCAGTGCGAAGAATGTAATTGTATCTCACACAAACGATAAAATACTTGTAACAGCTGAGAAGTTCAAAAAGGTGAAGCCCATGTCATGTTATAAAAGCAACGTTTGAACAAATTACACGGTCTCATTTCTAGAGGTTATTTATTTATCATAAGAAACATAAACAAAACTACCTGAATAGTGATTTGACGAAATATAATATGTACGCTATTCCGATCTTGTTCAATACTTCCAATCTATATTTCATACTGAAAGGCCACAGGCCTGTAGTGCAATAATTATTCATGTGTGGGTAGTAGAACATTCTTTCTGAGAATAAGAGCTTTGTGAATATATATGGACAATCTTTCTAAATGTGTTTGACTGGAATTATTCATCAATGATATAGACTTATGATTTTCAGGATACACATAATAATATGTCTTTATATATCTATTTCTTAACGATAAGTATGCTGGGCAAACATATAAAATTAAATTCATCTTCGACCACATTTAGGTTGAACATTTGACAGATTCTGTTTTCTTTCTTAATTCCTTGGTCTCTCCCAGTTTCAATACATAAATCATGCGCCGAGCAGCGGAATCTCGCCAATGAACATTTATATTTTCTTAAGGTCAAAACTGAAAGATAATGTTCTGTTTATATGGAATCTATTATCATTACACTACCAGTATTCTGTATTATGTCTGGGGCGCAAATTTGTCAAGCGAATTACAAAGTCTTAGATGACTGGTCAATGTATGCACCCTCCCCCACCCCCCGCAACTAGGCACACACACATGCGCATGCACGCACGCTCGCCCTCACACACACACACACTCAGAGGCATTCACAATAGGTCATTGAAAGTCAGTTATCGATATTTCGTCAACAAGCCAAGGATGCTCCACATCTGTATTTCACACTCGTGAACTATTGCATGTAATATAATAGGCTCTGTAATTATCATTACTGACATAAACATGCCATTTATTAGTTTCAGCATGACAGACATGGAAGGAACACAAGATTATTTTCGGATGAGTTTGTTTCAATGATCACTTAGGGATTTTCTTTCCAGTTGCCATGGTAACCAGACAACAAAATTAATTGAGATCGATCTCCAATATTGGGACATGTGTCAACCAAGTCAGCGAGCCTGACCACCCTATCCAGTTTATCACCCCTTACGACAAGCATGGGCTCTTACCCGGATCTTCACGGGGCAGTGAATACACAGGTGTATTTACCCTTCACGGTGACATGAGATCACGTGGTTTATGAAGTCGCGAATCTATTGTCGCGTCGACAAGAAAGGATTCGTTTGATCTTGATTCGTCTCTGTCAAACAAAACTCGGTCAGCTCTCTACCTGCCGGGAATCCATATTGAAAGTAGTTTCGTGCTCGTGACTATTACACTATTACACAGTTTTAATTGTTTGCGGGACGGTCGGGTAGCCTTGTAGTTAAAGCATTCTCTCGTCACGCCGAGAATTCGGGTTCCATTCCCTACATGAGTACAATGTGTGAAGCCCATTTCTGGTGTCCCCCGCCGTGATATTACTGGAATGGTGCTAAAAGCGGCGTAAAAATAGACTCACTCATTCACTCACCCACTCAGACTGTTTCTCTTGTCTGCGAATAGCTGCGTATCCTAATTTCCCTTCGCAGAAAATATTTTGCCTTCAAGAAGTTCTAAACCAACATTTTTTTGATAGTTCTCACTGTATGTCAAGCTCCTCTGCATCATGTAACACATTATCTGGTATCATAGACTCCAACTGTGTTCAAGTCGTCATAAGCAAATCTTGAACCTTCACCTGTAACCCCACGTAAAGTGAAATTATGTGCGTTAGTCTGGGAATAAAATTATACTTAATTTGGAAAAGATTTGCGGCTGTTTTACTATTTCACAAATAAATTTGTTTGTTTTCTATTGTGTATGTGTGTAACCATAGTGACCAGTGGGTTGGTAGTTCAATGTCCACGCATGGTTGTGGCCGACAAGCACAGATGTGACTGATGGAGACAGAACAGAGAGCTCTGCGAATAGACTTTTGCTGTGAGGAGCTGAAGCAAATATATCCAGTACTACTTCTCTGATGCTACCGGAGGTATTATGTTTGTAATGGATAAGCGGAGTGGACATTAATCTGTCGCCGAGCGGAAGCGTGTTATACGAACTATTTGCTAAGGGATATGGTGTTACACGGTTTAAGTGAATTCATGACATATCACTACTACATTGCTTCCCGAGGTATGAGGTAAGTAGTAGAAAATACCGAGAGGGTCTAAATATATTCCTAGCTGAGTGAGTGAGTGAGGGTGTGTGTGTGTGTTGTGCGTGCGCGTGCGTGCGTGCGTGTGTGTGTGTGTGTGTGTGTGTGGTTATCAATATTCCAGCAATATCACGACGGGGAACACCAGAAATGGGCTTCACACGTTGTACGCATGTGAGGAATCGAACCCGGATCTTCGGCGCGACGAGCGAACGCTTTAACCACTAGGCTTCCCCACCGCCCCAGGGTAAACCATGGACCAACTGTCAATCCAATGTAATACAGATACGTCAAGGTAAGTTAATTACGTGAGTGATTGACTGGATGAAAAGGATGAGTGAGTGAATGAGTGAGTGAGCGGGTGAGTGGGTGGGTGAGTGAGTGAGTGAGCGGGTGAGTGGGTGGGTGGGTGAGTGAGTGAGTGAGTGAGTGGATGGATGAGTGAGTGGGTGGGTGGGTGGGTGAGTGAGTGAGTGAGTGGGTGGGTGGTTGAATGAGTGAGTGAGTGGATGAGAGAGTGAGTGGGTGGGTGGGTGGTTGAATGAGTGAGTGAGTGTCAGACCAATGTTATAAACGTACGTACTGTGTTCTGGATAGCACACTGACACATAGCGGTACACACTGAGGAAGGCCAGCGTGTTGATGTTTGCCTGGGCCAGGGTGAAGCAGGTGAACCCTTGGATAAGGCATCCCACCCGACCAAACAAGTAGCGACCTGCAAAACTAGAGGCTGTTGTTAAAGGGTATCCAAAGAGGGAAATCCCAATGTCGGATATCGCCAGGTTGAAAAGCAGTTGGTTGTGAGGCTTTCTGCGCAACTTCCGGTTCCGGCATAACGTGAGAATCACAAGGGCGTTGCCCACTGTTGCAGTCGTGCCTGAAACATTGAAAGAGATGGAATAACCTGGTTGTATCAGATTTGGTTGAAGATTTCAACTTGGGTACCACAAGAACATAAGCTCACAGTAAAGTGAGTGAGTGAGTGAGTTTGGTTTTACGCCGCTTTTAGCAATATTCCAACAACATCACAGGGGGAAACCAGAAATGGGCTTCACACAATGTACCCATATGGGGATTCGAACCCGGGTCTTCGGCGTGACGAGCCAACGCTTTAACCACTAGGCTACCCCACCGCCCCCTTACAGTAAAGAGAAGATTAAGCTCTTGGCTACCACGGAAACATAACTTTACATTAAAGAGAACCGGAAGTTGGACTACCACAGAAACATAAGATGATTTAGCGTTTGGGCTGTAAAACCTTGCACTGATCATATCTTGCAATATCTGATAACACTTTGTGATTTTCTGATCTTTGAATAACAGGTATGTCAATTTATAAATATAATTAGTGCCTCAGAAAACACTCTTAACGCTTTGCAGCACATGGTTTCATGTTAACAGTTCTATTGTAGACATGGGGGAAAGTTTTAAATAACGCATGTGGTAACGCATGTTCCATATTTATCGCATGGGCTACAAACCTAATGTCCGATACAGTTCCTAATTTTCACCTTCAGCATATATAATATTGTTTCCCTGCATTGTTAGCTTCACAATTGACTTAACATAAACCTAATGTCCGATACAGTTCCTAATTTCCACCTTCAGCATATATAATATTGTTTCCCTGTATTGTTAGCTTCACAATTGACTTAACATAAACCTAATGTCCGATACAGTTCCTAATTTCCACCTTCAGCCTATATAATATTGTTTCCCTGTATTGTTAGCTTCACAATTGACTTAACATAAACCTAATGTCCGATACAGTTCCTAATTTTCACCTTCAGCATATATAATATTGTTTCCCTGGGGTAGTCTTGGTTAAAGCTTCGTCACAACCCGGGTTCGAATCCCACATGGGTACAAAACCTAATGTCCGATACATTTCTGGTTTCACCTTCGCCGTGATATTGTTTAAACCCTGTAATATTAGCTAAAAGCGACTTAACATAAACCTAATGTCCGATACAGTTCTAAGTTCAGTCAGCCTATATAATATTGTTTCCCTGTATTGTTAGCTTCCCAATTGACTTAACATAAACCTAATGTCCGATACAGTTCCCGTTCACCTTCAGCCTATATAATATTGTTTCCCTGTATTGTTAGCTTCACAATTGACTTAACATAAACCTAATGTCCGATACAGTTCCTAATGTTCACCTTCAGCATATATAATATTGTTTCCCTGTATTGTTAGCTTCACAATTGACTTAACATAAACCTAATGTCCGATACAGTTCCTAATGTTCACCTTCAGCATATATAATATTGTTTCCCTGTATTGTTAGCTTCACAATTGACTTAACATAAACCTAATGTCCGATACAGTTCGTAATGTTCACCTTCAGCATATATAATATTGTTTCCCTGTATTGTTAGCTTCACAATTGACTTAACATAAACCTAATGTCCGATACAGTTCCTAGTTTCCACCTGTAACCAGTGTCTGCAATACTTTTTGCCAGTTGGACACCGGGGCCTGCTGCCGCCTGCAGGCTTTAAAATCTACAGGCCGTGAATGAAATCTGGAGGCTCATTTTGTTACAGTAAAACCAATAAAAACAAAATAGACTATACTGTACACAGTTTCACACTGTTTCTACAAAATCAATTAGCGAAGCCTATGGCACTCAGAGAAATTTTCATTTGTTAAAGACTGGTGTTGACATTCCAACGCGCAAAGCGCTGAAATGCCAGGATGTGAAACTGTAAGTTATCCTAACATGATGGATCATGGATCCCGAACGTTAATATGGGAAAGATTCCAGTAAAATAAACGCATAAACAGATAATTGACTGAAGGCCACAAGGGCCTGCAAATATTTGAAACTACCGGGCCGATACAATAACTACCGGCGCTGGGCCTCCGGGCCGGCGGTTATTTCGAACGCTGCCTGCAACATATATATGGTTTCCGTGCATTGTTAGGTTCACAATTGAGTAGCCTTTGCATGTGTTTGTGACGTGACTGGTGGGGCAAGATGCGTTCCCCTTTTCGAGCACCCTTGGTATGTTTTCATAGTAAATTTATAAACATCTGCTCATGAGATAGTCGGAATCGAGGAATGGATCCACAGACATTTTGTTTTGTAACATGCAATTCTACCCATACAGAAAAGGTTAGAGGTAATGCCATATTCATAGCGTCCTTCAGATATCTGATAAGCAATTCAATCTATATTACGTTAAACCTGATTGCCTGAGAATATAAAGGTCTTGTCAACGACAGCTCTCGTGTCTCTTATGATTTATCTGCTTGGTGGTCGTTTGGCACCATTATTGACAGTGGTGATCAATACGTTTCTGGAAAAGGTAAATGACCTATATTGACCTCCATGAACTGTCTTGAAGACTTTGTATTATGTACGTTCTGTGAAATTCGTATGTAAGTGACTATGGTTGTACGCCGCTTTTAGCAATATAAAAGTATTATCACGGTGGGGGACACCAGAAATGGGCTTCACATATTGCACCCACGTGGGGATTCGAACCCGTTAGTCGACTCTTACACTTCACGAAGCATGGGCTGCTAATGACCAATTCTAACCCGGATCGCCAAGGTGAAGGTGACAAGAACAATTCCAGGATACATGTTCAGTAGGTAATGACTTGAGTTGACTTTAAACTCATTATTAAATTTTAGTGCTGGTGTGTGGTCCTGTGCATAGATCCGCCCGGAGAGCGGAAGGTCGCGGGTTCGATCCCCGACCGCGTCATACCAAAAAGACGTTAAAATATGGTACTTGTTGGTCCCTGCCTGGCGCTCGGCATTAATGGGTACAACAAGGACTGGTCGGCTCGGAGTCAGTATAATGTGTCTGAGTGGGGTATTCATGCTTCACTGCGGCATGGTATCTCAGTGGGCTAGCACTATAAAACCAGCTTCAGTCTGGGCTTGTACAAGCAGCCACACATACACATACACATGCATGCACGTCGTCATATGAGCGAAATATTCTCCAGCACGACGTTAAACCCAATTTCACCTCACCTCCTGTGCATAGAGCCCGGGTCACAAGTCAGTTGAAGTTAAGCGCTGATGGTCACAGAGAGTCCTTGGATGGGTGACCATGTTTGGCAGCTTGACTATAGAGAGTTTCGAGGACCTGAGCCCTGCCCCACACCGAAACTACGTGACACATGTGGTCTCATCTTAGGCAAGTGAGTTTGTTAGAAAAATTGTACTTGTAAATGGGTACCCGGTGGGATAGGTCATATGATTTGAACCTTCAATCGACTCACTGGCAGCTTTGGGTAATAATGTGTCAGCGCATTGAGCATGCACAAGTAATTAGATACAGGCGTTTTATACATAGCTGGGGAGGTGGGGTAGTCTAGTGGTTAAAGCGTTGGCTCGTCACGCCGAAGACCCGGGTTCGAATCCCCACATGGGTACAACGTGTGAAACCCATTTCTGGTGTCCCCCGCCGTGATGTTGCTGGAATATTGCTAAAAGCGGCGTAAAGCCAAAACTCAGTCAGTCAGTCAGTTATACATAGCAATTATTATATCATATTTCAAACAAAGAATTGTGAGTAAATGCAGGTGACGCCGGTCACTTCAGTGATGTTCATGATCACGTGTCTGAGCTCACTGAATCTTAGATTCAAACCTACAACAGACTGATCCGGCGACTACTGAGGGGGCGTAACCATTGCTGGGTTATTGCTACAAGAATAGTAAGCCAGTAACCCACTCGTATAGAACAGCTGCAGTTTTCATGTCAAGGACGTTTATGTACTAAGTACACATTCATCCGATTCTCATTCAAAAGATATTTAAGTTCGACATTAGTCTTTACTAAGCCATTATAAATCTCGTTTGCCTGACCTTTCCACATACTTGAAATGGAATAAAGATTAACTGTAAATTGTGTCCGTTTCGAGTTCCGACATACGACACTGACGAAGTTTTAATCTATACTGACAGATACAAATAATTGTGCGTATATGCTGTAAACAGGAATGGTTCAAAACGAGAGTTCAAGACACAATTTTCATCTCAACACAATTCGTTTTCTTTCGAGACCTTACAACAGAGCTCTTGACTTGCCACCGGTCTGTCGTACGCGTGTGGCCCCTGACGTGTGTCAACAACACAACCATATTCGGTCGGTGCAGCTAATCGATTCCAAACTGACACATTAACAACATTGAAAATTTGGGTTGAGACCAGTCAGTGGCAGAACCCTAAACAACCGATGGAGGGAGACATTGCTGTACTGTAATAACTGGCCGTTTCTAATGATCTGTCCTCCATAGAGTGTGTGAGTTTAGTTTTACGCCACTTTTATCAGTATCCAAGCAATATCACATCGGTGGACACCAGAAATGGGCTTTACACATTGCACCCATATGGGACGAGCGAATGAACCGTCTAACATTCTAGCGTGTCTAGGGTGAGATAGACCGACGCCTACTACAGGACCAGAACTCTTGTCCATTGTTTCGGAGAACTTACACTAGAATGTTTTCAATCAACCGATGTGTGTTTAATGCATCGACACTGCACCACCCGCATCAACGCATGCGCAGATGGTGGTGAAACCCGACACTGATATTGTTGCTGGAATGTTACACCACTCGTCTTTTAGTGCAAGTCGAACAGTCTCCTGGTACCATGTATGATTTTGTCAATTAATATTTGATAGTACCACATTAATTACACATATGACCAAATATTATGTTGTCATTATTAATAGAATAACATTTACATCTCTTTATGTTTTACGGTTTCACAAAGTGGTAAATGTCTGAGACCTACATTACTTCGGGTCTTCCTCCCACATTTACCTGACACGCCAATGTACAAGTGGAATAGCCTTAGGTGTTAAAATTAATTCACAAATTCAGCATGATAAAAGAGATACAAAATTCTACTGATAGACTAACAGCTAATCTCTGAAATGAATATATTTGGCAGAAACAGACGGTTCTTAAAATAGATAAATAAAACACAAAATGGATTCAAACTATTCTTCATTTTCAGAAAATGCTGCCAAACAAATTTGGCAAATGTAAAGGCCGTATTGGTTATACGCTAAACTACGTTTAAAACGAACACGTTCCAAGCGAACTAACGGATATGAATAGCTGGTCCCGGCTATATTTTACTCGAAACGCATATAACGAAATACGGTTATACCGAACAACAATTAGTGCTCCTTTTCATTTCGCTATAACCGTAGTTTACCTAGGGTCTGTATGCCAAGCTATTGTACAGCAAAAAGGTTTCGAACAACCCACACTAACTCATGGTCATGATACATATAAACCGAACTGAGTTTAAAAATAAAGGCCAGCATGACACGTGATTCCTAGCAAGGGATGACACGGAAACCAAAGGTGATCTGATTATATTGGACACACAAGATCACGCAATCTATCACCGTAATCTAAGTCGTTCACTTTTATTCTATAAATAATGGCCCAGTATCTCATTGTGGGTTTTCCTTTATGACCGCCTTCAAATTGCACATTTGATCCTCTTGCATAATGTGGAGCGTGTACATAGCATTATAAAATTTATTTTCAATACCCATCCTCGTTTATACGGCGAAATGCTATTGTATTCTTTGGACGCAACTATAGAAAGGTAATTATTCATTTTATAGTTTAAAAAACAAGCTTTAAAAATCAACCAAGGGATAGTTAGGAGGGATTTAATGCAATATGAAGACCTAGAAAAGAAGTAATTATAAGCTTGCGTTGTATTGACTGTTAATCTGGTTAAGCTGTTGAATCCCAAGTTGAAACAAAAATGTTAACCGGGAATCAGTCCGTAAAAGAACTTGGTGTGTGACCAACAGCCAGAGACATGTGCTGCAATCCACAATTGTATTCTGAAGTCATAAATTCACAATTCAATACAAAACGTCACAAACATATTACTATGGCAGTACGAATTGTGTGGCAGTACAAATTCAGAGGTAATACAATTAAGAGCAGCAATTATAGCAATAAAAACCAGCGTTCGAAATACCTGCCTGCCCGACCGCCCGGGACGGGTTATTATCAACACGGACTGCCAGATCTTTGAAGGGCATTTAGAACTGGAATGCATAAGAAAAGCAAGATTCATGGATGTCAACTTTATTGTGAATAGCACGACGTTTCGGAGTGTATGCTTACTCCTTCATCACCTGGACTCTCACCTGATGAAGGAGTAAGCATACACTCCGAAACGTCGTGTTATTCACAATAAAGAAGTTGACATCCATAAATCTTGCTTTTCTTCCGGACTGCCAGATTTTCAAATTCACCTGCCCGACGGTCGGGTTAAAATTTAGACATGCATATAAAGATATTCACCATATTTCAGAATAATAAATCATTATGAATTCACTCGTAAAAATAAAAGATGAATTCCAATTGGATGATAAACTACGTCTCTTGTCAAACCTAAATTATTTGTGGGAAGGTAAGTTTTGGTCAGGGCTGGCAAGTTTTACATCTAACCAGCCCTATGGTCTGTCTGAAAGTTTTGTGAGTTTCAAAAACAAGGACGGTAATATTCCCCTCTCAGCAACAGTAATCTAATTTGCAATTACGTCTGGTCAGGGTATGTGTAATGTGTGATGAGGGGCAATAACCTTCTCCTCTTTTATATCCAAGAGAAAGCCTAGAAAATTCCGCAATAGTCTCGAAGGCAGATGATGCTAGAGCAGTTTCCAGATCATTCTATGGTGGTAGGGTAACCTTGGGGTTAGAGTGGCAACGACAGAGAAAACCCAGTCTCAATTAACCGACGAAACCTAATCCATTATACGCGCAGGGGCAAAGATGGAGAAAATGGTCAGAATACATCCGACACCAGATATTCGCGAAAAAGGAAAACATGATCTGCTAAACGAAAGAGCAGAGACTCGAACAAGTAAGTGAGTTTAGTTTTACGCCACACTTAGCAATATTCCAGCTATATGGCGGCGGTCTGTAAATAATCGAGTCTGGACTAGACAATCCAGTGATCAACAGAATGAACATCGATCTACGCAATTGGGAACCGATGACATGGTCAACCAAGTCAGCGAGCCTGACCACCCGATCCCGTTAGTCGCCTCTTACGACAAGCATGGGTTACTGGAGATCAATTCTAACCCGGATCTTTCGCTCACATGACAACGTGTATGCAAGCACATTATACATTCAGACACATTATACTGACTGCGAGCCGACAAGTCCTTGTTGTTTCCAGCAATGCCGAGCGCCAGGCAGGGACCAACAGGTACCATATTTTCACGTCTTTTGTGATGACGCTGCCGGAGATCAAACAGTTGTACATGTATTTGCTATCCAAATGGGATACCATGCTGGTACATAACTCAAATACCCCACTCAGACACGATATCCTGAAACAAAAGACAAACGAAAGACAAAGGAAAGGCAAAGGAAAGACAAAGGAAAGGCAAAGGAAAGACAAACGAAAGACAAAGGAAAGGCAAAAGAAAGGGAAACAAAAGACAAACGAAAGACAAAGGAAAGGCAAAGGAAAGACAAACGAAAGGCAAAGGAAAGACAAAGGAAAAACAAAGGAAAGGCAAAGGAAAGACAAAGGAAAGGCAAAGGGAAGGCAAAGGAAAGGCAAAGGAAAGAGAAAAAGGACAAAAGAGACAAAGAGAGGGAGCCAAGGGAGAGGCAAAGGAAAGGCAAGACAAAGGGAAAGGCAAGGAGGAAAGACAAAGGAAAGACAAAGGAATAGAAAGGAAAGACAAAGGAAGACAAAGGAAAGACAAAGGAAAGACAAAGGAAAGACAAAGGAAAGACAAAGGAAAGACAAAGGAAAGGCAAAGGAAAGGCAAAGGAAAGACAAAGGAAAGGCAAAGGAAAGACAAAGGAAAGACAAAGGAAAGACAAAGGAAAGGCAAAGGGATAAAGACAAAGGAAAGACAAAGGAAAGGCAAAGGAAAGGCAAAGGAAAGAGACGGAAGAAAGGAAAAGACAAAGGAAAAGGAAAGGAAAGACAAAGGAAAGACAAAGGAAAGGGACAAAGGAAAGACAAAGGAAAGACAAAGGAAAGAGACAAAGGGAAGAGACAAAGGAAAGGACAAAGGAAAGACAAACAAAGGAAAGGAGGAAAGACGAAAGAAAAGAAAGGAAAGACAAGACAAAGGAAGAGACAAAGGAAAGGCAAAGGAAAGACAAAGGAAAGGCAAAGGAAAGACAAACGAAAGGCAAAGGAAAGGCAAACGAAAGACAAAGGAAAAACAAAAGAAAGGCAAAGGACGTTAAGGCAAAGGAAAGACAACGGAAAGACAAAGGAAAGACCAGACAAAGGAAAGGCAAAAGGGAAGGCAAAGGAAACACAATGGAAAGGCAAAGGAAAGGGCACGTGTATCAAGGGTGCGTCTCAAACTGAACTGCCTCCCTGTACAAATTGGAATTCCGGCGGAAATAACGTTAATCGGTATTACAGTTATAAATATGTGTCTGTGCGGAAATTATTGGTGATTAGCTGGGTCAGTACGAAATCATTTCCTCCAGTGATGACTGTTTCTCAACATCTATATTAATGCTTGTGCCATTAGAGCATTAGGGAAGTCTTATAAGTGGACCAAGAACATTGTCTTTGGTGAAGAAAGGGCAATGTCATAGATTGCCGTGGTTATAATTAATGAATGCATTCTTGTTTCCAGTTCTCTTGCTCTGTTAGTTCAGTGCTTGACTCGTCACGAAACACAGGTAGGACGGACATCAATTGACTGCATTGATTGATTGTCCCATTCGAATAATGTTAATGGTAATTTCCTCAAGAAATTCGAAGATTACGCAGATAAGTGCTGTGGTGTAATCTGATCTTCTCTGATAATTGTTGGGCATAGAAAGTCTTCACTTAAGTTTGGATTTGACCAATTCAGTAAAATTGTTACCTCAACGTTACTAAACTAAAACAGCCACCTAGACAACGCACACTGAAGGTCCAAATCACATGCCTTATCAATTGTATAACTATCAGGGGTGGTGGGGAAGCCTAGTGGTTAAGGCGTTCGCTCGTCACGCCGAAGACCCGCGTTCGATTGCCCACATAGGCACAATGTGTGAAGCCCATTTCTGGTGTCCGACGCCGTGATAGTGCTGGAATATTGCTAAAAGCGACGTAAAACCCAACTCACTCACTCACTCACTCTATAACCATGAAATAGCCATTTCTTGGTTGGTTCATTTTCAGCCACATTCAAAAATGGGTTTATGCTTTTTTTTCCGGTCTGGTTTATCAAGGTGTGTTGGGGAGATTGCGAAGCCTTGTTGGTGTATGATATGGTAAAATATATTTGTTCGAAACGTTTCTTTGATCACCCACCAGTGAGTGGGTACCCGGTAGGTTTAGATGGTTATGTGACTGTTGATATTCCAGCGCCCTATAACCTTCTTACGATGTGTTCTGATTGAAAACTGAGAGCGCACAGAAACGGTAACTGGAGAAGTAAGATGAATCATTCTATAAAAAAAATATTTGGTGATTTGAAAATGCGCTATACAAATTGATAATGTAATGCAAACCAATACAAAAACGTGAAACTGCATCTATCAAACAGAAGATCACAGCGCAGTATCTTAAAACCAATAATGACATTTTGGCTCATGTTATACCAGCAAACAGTGTTCTGCCTTGGCATTTGAGGCCGACTTTCTGTGCTGAAACATATTCGTTCGGGAATGGACACACACATATCGACAGTCCAAAACAAACACCCGGTTTTCGAATGCGTAAGAGTTGCCATGGCCACAAAGATCTCCTGTTCAATTTGTGCTGAAATTATGCCCCAAATTAACTGAGGATAAATATTTTCAAAGTGGTTTAAAATTTTCAGCACTCGTATTTATATATATATGACTTCAAATTTCGTGTTTTAAAAGCGAAATAACGACCGAACGATTATCGCAGTGATTGGGAAAGCAATATGTTTTGGCTGAACATTTCATGTTACCGCTCAGTGTGTGATACTGTGTAGTTTGTAAATTGTATGCCTCTATTACTGTAGCGCGACGAGGCAGCCTAGTCGTTAAAGCGTTTTCTCGTCACGTCGACGTGTGCGGCATAAAACAATAAGTTTAGTTTTTCGCCGCTTTTAGCAATATTCCAGCAATATCACGGCGGGGGACACCAGAAATGGGCTATACACATTTTACCCATGTGAGGTATGGAACCCGGGTCTTCGGCGTGACGAGCGTACGCATTAACCACTAGGCTACCCCACCGCCGCCATTATGTCGGAAAGTGCACGTTAAATCTCGACATCATCATCATGGACCTCCTTTGAATTGTGTCACGTGATGTAGGTACCGGCGTGTGGTAGGCTCGATGACTTGGTTGCGGCGTTAAACAGCAAACAAACAAACAAACAAACAGGTGCGTGGTTCTCACGTCTTCATGCAGTCTACTGTTTTCAACCCAAGATATACATGTATACGTCTCTTACTCATCTCATTTTAATTTTAATAATAAAATTTAATTTTTAATGAAATTTAAAATACATCATGGAAACAAATAAACATCGGAGTTTTGAAGTCTGTGGAGAATTCCCTCTTCTTTATATATCCACTGGCATTGTAAGGAAAATTAAATTACTGGAATAAATAAATATTAGAATTTTTGACACATTAGTAAAGTTTGTTTTGGTTTTACTTCCCCTTTATATTCAGTCTAAGTAAACTTAGGCTCAGTATTATTCGTTACACTGATATACCGAGACTCAGCGTACTAGTGTAATAATACTACGTTTACTTAGTCTGCGGTATATGACGTTTGATGGACAATAAATACACCTACATAGTACACAGCCTACAATAAACACTCAAACATCGATTAGGAAGTAGTGATCTTAAGTGACTCGCTTAACATTTGATGCTTGGTACTACATTAGAGTTTATTTTGAAGTGTATCCTTATTGGGAAATACAGAATTGATTGCAAGTAACTGAGTAAATAAGGATGTAAGGATGGATCAGTTTAATTAAGCTACCTTGACCGACATTTTATCCGGTCCAGCGGTGATTTTGATGACACAGAGTCTAGAGGATAATTATGCACTTTTTGACCCATTCACGCCCGTTCCCCTGTTTGGACCCTGTTGTCAAGGTAACAACATCAATAAGATATGAGCACTAACAAGATCGAAGGTTACTGACCAACCTTATGTTATTAGATCAAACGCGTCCCCACCCTTCCTTTCCAACACCACCTTCCCCCTCCAACACTCCCCTCTCCCGACACACATCCCAGCCCCGACCATCCAACCACCATATAGGTCCAATTAACAGTTAGATTACATAGTCCTTTGTGAAATGATTACAGTGATCTAGTGATTGATTATCGATTATTACTGTGTCACCAGCGTACATGAATATGGACGTGGGGTTTGGTATATGATTTGGTCATAAATCGTACAAATACTTATATTTATCAGTTGAGTGCTAGTCAGTAATTGTTACTTTGCGGAGGTACTGATTAATTTGATACTGTAGATTGTCAAAACTAACGATCACAAAACAGCCTCCTTCATTAAGGAGATAAGCATTCAGATTCAGCTTATTATTGAGTATTCGATCTTTTGTTTTCCTCTGTTGGTTTTTCGTATTTACCTCAACCTTTCCGGTTAAAATAACTATTAATTAATTACAAACTTCCTTTTCACACATTACGCTTTCCTTGCAAACATAAACATACTGATTATGTATCGACAGACACAAGAATTGATCTACTGCCATAATTGTTTCCTTGACTTGGCTCGTCACGCCGAAGACCCGGGTTCGAATCCCCACATGGGTACAGTGTGTGAAGCCCATTTCTGGTGTCCCCGCCGTGATGTTGCTGGAATATAGCTAATAGCGGCGTAAAACCAAACTCACTCAGTCAGTCAGTCAGTTTCCTTGACGTTATAAATTTATGACGTCAAGTGAAAAAGTCAAGGCCAAGGCCAGGGTAGAGTTGTCCTACAAATATATCGCTGGAAATAGATTCATTGCCAATTAACGCTTGGACATCATTCTGAAAGGTGACAAGTGAAACGAGCTGAGTCTATTAGTCTGAGACAGTTTAATCAGAAGACAACAATGTCTCACATGAAGGATGTCCTGTTTTGATTGTTTGTTTGTTTATTGTTAAACGCCGCACCCAGCAACCGTCCAGCTGTGAGGCGGCGGTCTGTTAATAATCGGACCAGACAATCCAGTGATCAACAGCATGAGAATCGGTCTATGCATTTGGGATACGATGACATGTGTGAACCAGGTCAGCGAGCCTGACCATCCATCCCGTTAGTTGCCTCTTACGACAGGCATTGGTTGCTAAAGACCAATTCTAACCGGGATCTTCACAGGTCGAAGGATATCCTGAATATGTTTTTGACGCTGGAAGGATGCTGAAGATACTGTTTTGCGGAAACAGGACTATATTGATGTTGCAACGTTGGTAAATAGTTTCTTACAAGAAAAAGATCTGAGGACCTGGGCCTACATTTTCGAAGCTCTCTTAGCGCTAAGATAGCCGTATGTGCCATACATTAACATTAACTTACGACTATCTTAACGCTAAGAGAGCTTCGAAAATCTAGGCCCTGAAGTCAACATCTCATCATCTCATCACCTGAACAATGGTTGCAAATTGTTACACGCTCGCAGTGGTCAGATGTTGTTATCTGTGTTTTATCACTCAATACTAAGTAATCAACACGTTCCATTGACATATACATAGCGAGCATACACTGGCATAATGTTTGCACGGAAACGGGCTGTAAAATACATTTCCGATATCGAACAATAACGGCGCTTAAAACACCTCTTGTCACAATATCGATTGCTCGAGAATGATTGTACAAACGCAAACACAAAAAAACAAAGCTGAAAGATCTCCAAGGATGTCCATGCCACATCGATCAACAAAACACAAGTAAAATCAATGATGTGAATTGATATACTGAAATGTAGTTTTGAATATGTTCGAAACCTTCTATAGGCAGCAAATACCGTGATTGTCACATGCTGTGATCAGAGGGCCCGTGGTAGAGTTCAGATATATGGCATGACCTAACACATGCTTAGGACTAACAAGAGACAAGCTCATGTCTAGACACCTCGTAACAGATATATGGTATGACCTAACACCATGTTAGACACATGAGGTAACAAGACACATGTCATGTCTAGACACCTCGTAACAGATATATGGTATGACCTGACACCATGTTAGACACATGAGGTAACAAGACACATGTCATGTCTTGAAACCTCGTG